AACAGGGAATGGAGCAGGAATAGGGAATGGAGTAGGGAAAGGAGCAGAATCAGGGAAAGGAGCAGGGAATGGAGTGAGGAAGGTGAGGAGAGGAGCAGGAGGAGCCGGAGCAGGGAAAGGAGCTGGGAATAGGGAGAGGAACAGGGAATGGAACAGGAATAGGGAACGGAGCAGGGAACGGAGCAGGGAATGGAGCAGGAATTGGGAATGGAACAGGAATAGGGAAAGGAGTAGGGAATGGAGCAGGAACAGGGAATGGAGCAGGGAATGGATCAGGGAATGGAGATGGGAAAGGAGATGGGAAAAGGGAAAGGAGCAGGAACAGGGAATGGAGCAGGGAAAGGAGCAGGGAATGGAGTGAGGAAGGTGAGGAGAGGAGCAGGAGGAGCCGGAGCAGGGAAAGGAGCTGGGAATAGGGAGAGGAACAGGGAATGGAACAGGAATAGGGAACGGAGCAGGGAATAGAGCAGGAATAGGGAATGGAGCACGAATAGCGAATGGAACAGAAATAGGGAATGGAGCAGGGAAAGGAACAGGGAATGGAGATGGGAATGGAGATGGGAATGGAGTGAGTAAAGTGAGGAGAGGAGCAGGAGGAGCCGGAGCAGAGAATGGAGCAGGATCAAGGAGAGGAACAGGGGATGGAGCAGGGAAAAGGGAAAGGAACAGGAACAGGGAATGGAGCTGGGAATGGAGCAGGGAATGGAGAGGGATCAGGGAATTGTGCTGGGAATGGAGCTGGGAATGAAGCAGGGAAAGGAGCAGGGAATGGAGATGAGAAAGCAGTGGGAAGAGGAAAATAAGCAGGAATAGGGAATGGAGCAGGGAATGGAGATGGGAAAGCAGCAGGAGCAGGGAGAGGGATAGGGAATGGAGCAGGAACAGGGAATGGAGCAGGGAAAGGGAAAGGAGGAGGAATAGGGAAAGGAGCAGGGAAAGGAGGAGGGAATGGAGCAGGAATAGGGAATGGAGCAGGGAAAGGAGCGGAATCAGGGAAAGGAGCAGGGAATGGAGTGAGGAAGGTGAGGAGAGGAGCAGGAGGAGCCGGAGCAGGGAAAGGAGCTGGGAATAGGGAGAGGAACAGGGAATGGAACAGGAATAGGGAACGGAGCAGGGAATAGAGCAGGAATAGGGAATGGAGCACGAATAGCGAATGGAACAGAAATAGGGAATGGAGCAGGGAAAGGAACAGGGAATGGAGATGGGAATGGAGATGGGAATGGAGTGAGTAAAGTGAGGAGAGGAGCAGGAGGAGCCGGAGCAGAGAATGGAGCAGGATCAAGGAGAGGAACAGGGGATGGAGCAGGGAAAAGGGAAAGGAACAGGAACAGGGAATGGAGCTGGGAATGGAGCTGGGAATGGAGCAGGGAATGGAGCAGGGAATGGAGATGAGAAAGCAGTGGGAAGAGGGAAATAAGCAGGAATAGGGAATGGAGCAGGGAATGGAGATGGGAAAGCAGCAGGAGCAGGGAGAGGGATAGGGAATGGAGCAGGAACAGGGAATGGAGCAGGGAAAGGAGCTGGGAATAGGGAGAGGAACAGGGAATGGAACAGGAATAGGGAACGGAGCAGGGAATGGAGCAGGAACAGGGAATGGAGCACGAATAGGGAATGGAGCAGGAACAGGGAATGGAGCAGGGAAAGGAGCAGGGAATGGAGATGGGAATGGAGATGGGAATGGAGTGAGGAAAGTGAGGAGAGGAGCAGGAGGAGCCGGAGCAGAGAACGGAGCAGGATCAAGGAGAGGAACAGGGGATGGAGCAGGGAAAAGGGAAAGGAACAGGAACAGGGAATGGAGCTGGGAATGGAGCAGGGAATGGAGAGGGATCAGGGAATTGTGCTGGGAATGGAGCTGGGAATGAAGCAGGGAAAGGAGCAGGGAATGGAGATGAGAAAGCAGTGGGAAGAGGAAAATAAGCAGGAATAGGGAATGGAGCAGGGAATGGAGATGGGAAAGCAGCAGGAGCAGGGAGAGGGATAGGGAATGGAGCAGGAACAGGGAATGGAGCAGGGAAAGGGAAAGGAGGAGGAATAGGGAAAGGAGCAGGGAAAGGAGGAGGGAATGGAGCAGGAATAGGGAATGGAGCAGGGAAAGGAGCGGAATCAGGGAAAGGAGCAGGGAATGGAGCTGGGAATGGAGTGAGGAGAGGAGCGGGGAGAGGAGCAGGAGGAGCTGGAGCAAGGAAAGGAGCTGAGAATGGAGCTGGGAATAGGGAGAGGAACAGGGAATGGAGCAGGAATAGGGAATGGAGTAGGGAAAGGAGCTGGAAATGGAGCAGGAACAGGGAATGGAGCAGGGAAAGGAGTGAGGAAAGTGAGGAGAGGAGCAGGAGGAGCGAGCAGGGAATGGAGCGGGATCAGGGAGAGGAACAGGGAATGGAGCAGGGAATGGAGCAGGGAATGGAGATGGGAAAGCAGTGGGAAAAGGGAAAGGAGCAGGAATAGGGAATGGAGCAGGGAAAGGAGCAGCATCAAGGAATGGAGATGGAAAAGGAGCAGGAGCAGGAGAGGAATAGGGAATGGAGCAGGGAATGGAGCTGGGAATGGAGCAGGCAATGGAGCTGGGAATGGAGCAGGGAATGGAGTGAGGAAAGTGAGGAGAGGAGCAGGGAATGGAGTGGGAAGAGGGAATGCATCAAGGAAAGGGAAAGGATCAGGGAATGGAGCTGGAAACAGGGAGAGGAACAGGGAATGGAACAGAAATAGGGAAAGGAGCTGGGAATGGAGCAGGAGCAGGGAATGGAGCAGGGAATGGAGTGAGGAAAGTGAGGAAAGGAGCAGGGAGAGGAGCAGGAGGAGCCGGATCAGGGAATGGAGTGGGATTAGGGAGAGGAACAGGGAATGGAGCAGGGAAAGGGAATGGAACACGAATAAGGAATGGAGCAGGAACAGGGAATGGAGCAGGGAATGGAGCAGGGAATGGAGATGGGAATGGAGCAGGAACAGGGAATGGAGCAGGGAATGGAGATGGGAAAGGAGATGGGAAAGGAGATGGGAAAAGGGAAAGGAGCAGGAATAGGGAATGGAACAGGGAAACGAGCAAGGAATGGAGCAGGGAATAGAGTGGGATCAGGGAATGGAGATGGGAAAGGAGCAGGAGCAGGGAGAGGAATAGGGAATGGAACAGGAATAGGGAATGGAGCAGGGAATGGAGCTGGGAATGGAGTGAGGAGAGGAGCGGGGAGAGGAGCAGGAGGAGCCGGAGCAGGGAAAGGAGCTGGGAATGGAGCAGGGAATAGGGAGAATAACAGGGAATGGAGCAGGAACAGGGAATTGAGATGGGAATGGAGCAGGAACAGGGAATGGAGCAGGGAATGGGAAAGGATCAGGGAATGGAGCAAGGAATGGATCAGAGAAAGGATCAGGGATCAGGGAATGGATCAGAGAATGGATCAGGAAACAGATCAGAGAATGGAGCAGGGAATGGATCAAGGAATGGAGAAGGGAATGGATCAAGGAATGGATCAGGGAATGGATCAGGGATCAGGGAATGGATCAAGGAATGGAACAGGGAATGGATCAGAGAAAGGATCAGGGATCAGGGAATGGATCAGGGAACAGATCAGAGAATGGAGCAGGGAATGGATCAAGGAATGGAGCAGGGAATGGATCAAGGAATGGAGCATGGAATGGATCAGGGATCAGGGAATGGATCAGAGAATGGATCAGGGAACGGATGAGGATGCCCAAGGCCAGGGCACATCAACCCCTCCACACCCACTGGAGCCTCCCAACGTCCTTCCCACACCCACCTCCACCGGGATGTGCCCCCGGAGCACTGGATATCCCTCTGGAATTCCTCTGGAACCCCTCTGGAATCCCTCTGGAAATCCCTCTAGAACCCCTCTGGAACCCCTCTGGAATCCCTCTGGAATCCCTCTGGGACCCCTCTGGAATTCCTCTGGAACCCCTCTGGAACCCTTCTGTAATCCTTCTGGAATCCCTCTGGAACCCCTCTGGAACCCTTCTGGATTCCCCTCTGGATTCCCCTCTGGAACCTCTCTGGAATTCCTTTGGAATCCCCTCTGGAATCCCTCTGGAAACCCTCTGGAACCTCTCTGCAACCCCTCTGGAATTGCTCTGGATTCCCCTCTGGATTCCCCTCTGGATTCCCCTCTGGAACCTCTCTGGAATTTCTCTGGAATTGCTCTGGAACCCCTCTGGATTCTCCTCTGGAACCTCTCTGGAATTCCTCTGGAACCCCTCTGGAATTTCTCTGGAATCTCTCTGGAATCCCTCTAAAACCCTCTGGAATCCCTCTGGAACCCCTCTGGAACCTCTCTGGAATTTCTCTGGAATCCCTCTGGAAACCCCTCTGGAACTCTTCTGGAATCCTTTGGACATCCCTCTGGAACCCCTCTGGAATCGCTCTGGATGCTCCTCTGGAATCCCTCTGGAACTCCTCTGGAATTTCTCTGGAATCCCTCTGGAATCTCTCTGGAATCCTTCTGGAACTCCTCTGGATTCCCCTCTGGAAACCCTCTGGAATCCCTCTGGAATCTCTCTGGAACCCTTCTGGAATTGCTCTGGAGCCCCTCTGGAAATTCTCTGGAGCCCCTCCGGAACCCCTCTGGAATTGCTCTGGAGCCCCTCTGGAATTGCTCTGGAACCCCTCCGGAACCCCTCTGGAACCCCTCCTGTTTCCTCTCTGGAATTGCTCTGGAACCCCTCTGGAATCTCTCTGGAACCCTTCTGGAAACCCCTCTGGAATCCTTCTGGAATACCTCTGGAACCCCTCTGGATTCCCCTCTGGAATTGCTCTGGAGCCCCTCCGGAACCCCTCTGGAACCCCTCCTGATTCCTCTCTGGAATTGCTCTGGAACCCCTCTGGATAAAGCCGGGAATCCTTCTCCCGCTCCCCGAGCCTCCCACACCCACCACCACCACAGGCCCACGACGCACACGCAAACAGCCGGAAAACCACCGGAAAACCACCGGAAAACCGCCGGAAAACCGCTTCCACAAACCCCCCGGAATTCCTGGGGAATCCCAGGCCTTACCCAGCTCCTCCAGCTCGGCCGTCATGGATTTGGAGCGCAGCGTGAGGGTCGTGCTGGGGGCTCTCTTGGGCGGCGGCGGAGCTGCAAGGAACAGAGAGGGCATCTTGCACCGCTTCTCCCGGAATTTCCGCGGAGTGGCCAAGTGCAGGTGCCACTTCTTCTCCACCGCCTGGATCTCCTCGTATTCCCGGGATGAGGAGTCGCACTGCTGCAGGATCTTATTGAGGCTGCGCGTGGAGGCGAACTTCTTCATGATTCCCGCCGGGAATGTGGGAGCCCTTTGGGAATGACGCCTTTTGGGAATGCTGGAGGATTTAGCGGCGCCGAGTCCGAGTCATGGCCTTTCTCTCTCTCCTCTCCCTCCCCACCACGCTCCGGGAATTCGGGGGAAAAGCGGGAATGTTTCCGGCTCTTCTTCCCGCCTCGATGGCCCACCCCACCTTCCTCCTCCTCCTCCTCTTCCTCCTCCTCCTGCCGCCTGTGGATCCCGACCCTATGGAGCTGCCCGAGCCCGCGTGGCCCGGGATGATCCCAAAATCTCCCGATCCCGCATTCCCTGGATCGCACNTCCCTCCTTCCCTCCCCCGAGCCCCGCGTGCTGCGCTGGGAGCGGCCCCGATCCCGGCCCCCTTCATTCCCTGCTCCCAGCCCCCGATTCCATCCCCGATTCCATCCCTGAATCCATCCCTGATTTCATTCCCTGCTCCCAGCCCCCGATTCCATCCCTGAATCCATCCCCGACTCCATCCCTGATTTCATTCCCTGCTCCCAGCCCCCGATTCCATCCCTGAATCCATCCCTGATTTCATTCCCTGCTCCCAGCCCCCGATTCCATCCCCGACTCCATCCCTGATTTCATTCCCTGCTCCCAGCCCCCGATTCCATCCCCGACTCCATCCCTGATTTCATTCCCTGCTCCCAGCCCCCGATTCCATCCCCGATTCCATCCTTGAATCCATCCCTGATTTCATTCCCTGCTCCCAGCCCCCGATTCCATCCCTGAATCCATTCCTGATTCCATCCCCTGCTCCATCCCCTGATTCCATCCTTGCTCCCATCCCCTCGATTCCACTCCGACTCCCATCCCTGCTCCCATCCCCTGCTCCATCTCCGATTCCATTCCCCTGATTCCATCCCTACTCCCATCCCTGCTCCCATCCTCCTGCTCCATCCCCGATTCCATTCCCTGCTCCCAGCCCCCGATTCCATCCCTGATTCCATCCCTGCTCCCTTCCCCCCGACTCCATTCCTGCTCCAATCCCCTGATCCCATCCCCCTGCTTCTATCCCTGTTCCCATCCCCGTTTCCATCCATTCCCTGCTCCCATCCCTGCTTCCATTCCCCATTTCCATTCCTGTTCCCATCCCTGGTCCCATCCCTGGTCCCACCCGCCCATTTCCATTCCCTGCTTGCATTCCCCATTTCCATTCCCAATTTCCATTCCCCATTTCCATTCCCTGTTCCAATTCCCTGTGTCCATTCCCTGCTCTCATTCCTGTTCCCATCCCTGTTCCCACCTGCCCATTTCCGTTCCCTGCTTGCATTCCCCATTCCCATTCCCAATTTCCATTCCCCATTTCCATTCCCTGTTCCAATTCCCTGTGTCCATTCCCTGCTCTCATTCCTGTTCCCATCCCTGTTCCCACCTGCCCATTTCCATTCCCTGCTTGCATTCCCCATTTCCATTCCCAATTTCCATTACCCATTTCTATTCCCTGTTCCAATTCCCCATTTCCATCCATTTCCATTCCCTGCTCCCATTCCCTGCTCCCATTCCCTGTTCCCACTCCTGTTCCCATTCCCAGCTCCCATTCCCTGTTCCCATTCCCTGTTCCCATTCCCAGCTCCCATTCCCAGCTCCCATTCCCAGCTCCCATTCCCTGTTCCCATTCCCAGCTCCCATTCCCTGTTCCCATATTCCTGCTCCTGTCCCTCCATCCCATTTCCATCCCTGCTCCTGTCCCCTTTTCCCATCCCTCTGTTCCTCTCCCTCTGCTTCCATCCCCGTTCCCATTCCCTGTTCCCATTCCCATTCCTGTTCCCATTCCCATTCCCTGTTCACATTCCTGTTCTCATCCCTGTTCCCATCCCTGTTCCCATTCCCGTTCCCATTCCCATTCCCTGTTCCCATTCCTGTGCCCATTTCCATTCCCATTCCCATTCCTGTGCCCATTCCCGTTCCCTTTCCCTGTTCCCATTCCCATTCCTGTGCTCATTCCTGTTCCCATTCCCTGTTCCCATCCCCATTCCCATTCCCTGTTCCCATTCCCATTCCCGTTCCCTGTTCCCATTCCCATTCCTGTGCCCATTCCCATTCCCGTTCCCATTCCCATTCCCTGCTCCCATTCCCTGCTCCCATTCCCGTTCCTATTCCATGCTTCCATTTCCATTCGCATTCCCTGTTCCCGTCCCTCCATCCCATCCCACTCCTGCTTCCTAAATTCCCATCCTTGTAATTCCATTCCCCTTTTCCCATCCCAGTAATTCCATCCCCTTTTCCCATTTTTCCCTTTCCCATTCCCCTGCTCCCATTCCCAGGAATTCCAATCCCAATCCACCCCCAAACCCCTCCCGGTTCCTTCCTGTGCTCCCAGACATTCCCATTTTTCTCTGGAAAAATCCCTGCCCAAACTCTTGGATCCGCTCCTGGGATCTGGAACCCACGGAATGAAATCCCAAAAATTTCCGGGATCCCCCGGGATCCCGACCGGGATTCCGGGACCGACCATTCCCAGGAATTCCCACAGCCGGGACCGACCATTCCCAGGAATTCCCACAGCAACCCCCAGGCTTCATCCCAGAATTCCCAGTCCATTCCCCACTTCCCACAGCCGGGAGCTCCCAAAACTCTTCTTCCTCGTTTGCCGCAATTCCAGGAATTCCAGACCTTGGGAATTCCCAAAAACCACCACAGCTCCAGGAATTCCAGACCTTGGGAATTGAAGCCATTCCCCAAAAGCTCCACAATTCCAGGAATTCCAGACCTTGGGAATTTAAGTGATTCTCAAAAAATGTCCCAACTCCAGGAATTCCAGACCTTGGGAATTCCCACAAAACACTGCAACTCCGGGAATTCCAGACCTTGGGAATCAAAGCCATTCCCAAAAACCATCCCAACTCCAGGAATTCCAGACCTTGGGAATTCCCCAAAAAGCTCCGTAATTCCAGGAATTCCAAACCTTGGGAATTCCCACAAAACACTGCAACTTCAGGAATTCCAGACCTTGGGAATTCCCAAAAAGCTCCACAATTCCATGAATTCCAGACCTTGGGAATTGAAGCCATTCCCAAAAAGCTCCAGAATTCCAGGAATTCCAGACCTTGGGAATTCCCACAAAACACCACAACTCCAGGAATTCCAGACCTTGGGAATTGAAGCCATTCCCAAAAAAACATCCCAACTCCACAGATGTGGTTGGGACCTTCCTGAACTTCCCCGCCCACCACATTCCCAAAAATCTGCGCATCCCAAAAAACGACACATCCCCAACCTGGAGCATCCCAAAAATCTCTGCATCCCAAAAACGGAAACATCCCAAAAATCAACGCATCCCGAAATTGGCAAAACCCAAAAACCCGCAAATCCCCAAAACCCAGAACATTCCAAGAATGGAAAAATCCCCAAACCAGAAACATCCCAAAGATCAATGCATCCCAAAAACGGAACCATCCCAAAAATGGGAAAATCCCCAAAATTGGTGCATTCCCAAAACCAGCAAATCCCAAAAATTGGCACATCCCAAAAGCAGAAAAATCCCAAAAATGGAAAAATCCCAAAGATCAGAACATCCCAAAACCTTGCACATCCCAGAAACGGAAACATCCCAAAAATGGAAAAATCAAAAAAAATCAGAACATCCCAAAACCCAGCACATTCCCAAAAATTGGCACATCCCAAAAATCAACCCATCTCAAAAATCAACGCATCCCAAAGACCAACGCATCCCAAAACCTGGCAAATCCCAAAAATCGGTTCATCCCAAAAATCAACACATCCCAAAGATCAATGCATCCCAAAAATGGGAAAATCCCCAAAATGGGAAAATCCCAAAAATCAGAACATCCCAAAACATGGCAAATGCCAAAACCAGAAAAATCCTAAAAACCATCACATCCCAAAACCAGAAACATTCCAAGAATGGAAAAATCCCCAAAACCGGAAAATCCTAAGAATCAGCGCATCCCAAAACCCGACACATCCCAAAAACAGAAACATCCCAAAAACCATCACATCCCAAAATGCGGCAAATCCCAAAACCAGAAAAATCCCCAAAATTGGCACATCCCTAAAACTGACACATCCCAAAAATAGAAACATCCCAAAAATCAATGCATCCCAAAAAAGCAGAAAATCCCCAAAATGGGCACATCCCAAAAATCAGAAAATCCCAAAAATCAGAATATCCCAAAAACCATCACATCCCAAAACCTGGCGCATCCCAAAAATCAGTGAATCCTAAAAATCAGAACATCCCAGAAATGGAAAAATCCCAAAACCTGGCACATCCCAAAAATCAACACATCCCTAAAATCAACACATCCCAGAGAACAATGCATCCCAAAAATGGGAAAATCCCCAAAATGGGAAAATCCCAAAAATCAGAACATCCCAAAACATGGCAAATGCCAAAACCAGAAAAATCCTAAAAACCATCACATCCCAAAACCAGAAACATTCCAAGAATGGAAAAATCCCCAAAACCGGAAAATCCTAAGAATCAGCGCATCCCAAAACCCGACACATCCCAAAAACAGAAACATCCCAAAAACTGGCACATCCCAAAAATCAACACATCCCTAAAATCAACACATCCCAAAACCCAGAAAATCCCAAAACCAGAAACATTCCAAGAATGGAAAGATCCCAAAAATTGGCACATCCCAAAAATCAATGCATCCCAAAAAAGCAGAAAATCCCCAAAATGGGCACATCCCAAAAATCAGAAAATCCCCAAAATCAGAATATCCCAAAAATCAGAATATCCCAAAAACTGGCACATCCCAAAAACAGAAACATCCCAAAAACCATCACATCCCAAAAACTGGCACATCCCAAAAATCAACACATCCCTAAAATCAACACATCCCAAAACCCAGAAAATCCCAAAACCAGAAACATTCCAAGAATGGAAAGATCCCAAAAATTGGCACATCCCAAAAATCAACGCATCCCAAAAAAGCAGAAAATCCCCAAAATGGGCACATCCCAAAAATCAGAAAATCCCCAAAATCAACACATCCCAAAAATCAGAACATCCCAAAAATCAGTGCATCCCAAAAATCAGCATATCCCAAAAATCATCACATCCCAAAATGCGGCAAATCCCAAAACCAGAAAAATCCCAAAAATTGGCACATCCCTAAAACTGACACATCCCAAAAATAGAAACATCCCAAAAATCAATGCATCCCAAAAAAGCAGAAAATCCCCAAAATGGGCACATCCCAAAAATCAGAAAATCCCCAAAATCAACACATCCCAAAAATCAGAACATCCCAAAAATCAGCGCATCCCAAAAATCAGCAAATCCCAAAAATCATCACATCCCAAAAACAGAAACATCCCCAAACCATCACATCCCAAATCCTGGCACATCCCAAAAATCAATGCATCCCAAAAATCAGAATATCCCAAAAACCATCACATCCCAAAACCTGGCGCATCCCAAAAATCAGTGAATCCTAAAAATCAGAACATCCCAGAAATGGAAAAATCCCAAAACCTGGCACATCCCAAAAATCAACACATCCCTAAAATCAACACATCCCAGAGAACAATGCATCCCAAAAATGGGAAAATCCCCAAAATGGGCACATCCCAAAAATCAGAAAATCCCAAAAATCAGAATATCCCAAAAATCAGAATATCCCAAAAACTGGCACATCCCAAAAACAGAAACATCCCAAAAACCATCACATCCCAAAAACTGGCACATCCCAAAAATCAACACATCCCTAAAATCAACACATCCCAAAACCCAGAAAATCCCAAAACCAGAAACATTCCAAGAATGGAAAGATCCCAAAAATTGGCACATCCCAAAAATCAACGCATCCCA